GCGATGGGCGGAGTCGAGATGTCTCCTTGCGAAGGGAGGATCCTGAGATGTGCTCCTTGCGTATGGGAGGCCAGTCGAGATGTGCTCCCTTGGCGATGGGAGGAGCGAAGATGTGCCTCCTTGGCGATGGAGGAGTCGAGTATGCTCCTGTGGCATGGGGCGGCAGTCCGAGATGTGCTCCTTGGCGAGGGAGGAGTCGAGTTTGTGCTCCTTGCGATGGCGAGTTCAATGTGCTCCTTGGCGATGGGAGGAGTCGAGATGTGCTCCTTGGCGATGGGAGGAGTCGAGCATGTCTCCCGTGGCGAGTGGGAGGATCGATGATCGTGCTCCTTGGCGATGGGAAGGAGTCGAGATGGCTCCTTGGCGAATGGGAGGAGTCCGAGATGTGCTCCTATTGCGAGGGGAGGAAGTCCGAGATGTGCTCCTTGGCGATGGGAGGAGTCGAGATGTGCTCCTTGGCGATGGGAGGAGTCGAGATGTGCTCCTTGGCGATGGAGAGTCGAGATGTGCTCCTTGGCGATGGGCGGAAGTCGAGATGTTGCTTCCTTCGGCGAGTCGAGGAGGTCAGATTGTGCTCCTTGGCGATGCGGAGGAGTCGCCAGGACCATGTGAATCCTCCATCTGGCGATGGGAGGAGTCGCGATGTGCTCCTTGGCGATGGGAGGAGTCCGAAGCAGTGCTCCTTGGCGATGGGCGGAGTCGATGATGTGTCTCCTCTTGGCGACTAGGGTTCGAGTAGTCAGTTGTGCTCCATCTTTGGCTCACGAATGGGACCGGAGCATTTCGAGATGTGCTCCACTGAGCGATGGGATAGGAGTCCGAGATGTGCTCCTTGCGCGATGGGCGAGTTCGAGATGTGACTCCTTGGCGATGTGGCGGATCGCATGTTTATGTGTTCCTGGCGACTGGATGTGGTTTCTTTTTTTGTGTCAGCCATAGATGCCTGCCCTACCCTTGGCGAGGGCAGAGTACGAGACTGTCCTTGGCCGATGGGATGAGTCGATGATGTGCTTCCTTGTCGGATGGGAGGAGTCCGAGATGTGCTCCTGGCCAGGGGAGATCGAGATGTGTCCTTGGGCGATGGGCCCGGATCCGATTCCTTGGCGAGGCTCGGAGTCCGAGATTCTCCCTTGGCCCGATGGAGGCAGTCGATGTGCCTCCTGCGATGGATAGAGTCCGAGATGTGCTTCCTTGCGATGGGAACAGGCAGTCGATGCATTTGCTCCTTGGCGGTTGTATACCGAGTCGAGAGATTTCCTTGCGATGGCGGATTCGAGATGTCCCTGGCGCTTGATGGGCCCCGGAGTCCCGAGATGTTTTCCTTCCTTGCCGATGGCGGAGTCAGATGTTCCCCCTACTTGGCGGTGGGAGGAGTCGAGATGTTTCCCCTTTAGCAGATGGGCCGGAGTCGAAGATGTGCTCTCTTGGCGATGGCGGAGTCCCGAGACTTGCTCTTGGCGGCTGGGCAGGAGTCGAGAATTGCTCCTTGCGGTGGAGGAGTCCGAGGCATGTTGTCTCCCGTTTGGCGATGGGCGGATCAGGCTGTCCTCCCTGAGCGGAGGAGGCTTATTTCAGCGGAGCAGTCGACACGCTGCTGTTCCTGGGCCGTGCGATTGCGCGAGTCCGAATGTGCTCCTTGGCGATGGGCGGAGTCGAGATGTGCTCCCATCTGCTGGGAGGATCGAGATTGTTTGGCGAGGCGGAAGTCGAGACGTCTCCTTCTCGGCCGAATGGCGGAGGGGGTCGAGAAAATGTGCTCCTTGGGCGGTGGGAAGAGTCGAGATGTGCCCTTGGCGCTCTGGAGATCGAGCTGTGTTCCCGCTCTCGGCGACGGGCGGAGTCGGGGAGATGTGCCTTCCTTGCGGTGGGGGAAAAGAGGAAAAAAAAGTTCTCCCCGGGTACGGAACTGTGACTCCTTGGCGATGCGCGCACATATACGGAGCTAACGGTGGTCGCCTCTTCTCCTCGGCGGTTCGGGAGAAGTCGAGATGTGTTCCGCTCGGCCTGGCGGAGTCGAGATGTGCTCCTTGGCGATGGGAGGAGTCGAGATGTGCTCCTTGGCGATGGGCGGAGTCGAGATGTGGCTCCTTGGCGATGCGGCTGGAGTCGAGATGTGCTCTTGGCGATGGGCGCGAGTCGAGATGTGCTCTTGGCGGTGGGAGGAGTCCGAGATGCTGTCCTTGGCGAATGGGCGGAGTCGAGAGTGCTCCTTGGCGAATTGGGCCGAGTCGAGATGTGCTCCTGGTCGTGGGAGGAGGTCGAGGATGTGCCTCCTTGGCAGGGTGGAGGGAGTCGAGATGTGTTCCTGGCGTATGGGCGGAGTCGAGATGTGCTCCTTGGCGGTGGAGGAGGTCGAGATGTGTTCCTTGGCGATGGCGGAGTCGCGAAAAAATGTGCTCCTTGGGCGATGGCGGAGGGTCGAGATGTGCCTCCTTGGCGGTTGGGAGGAGTCAGATGTGGTTCCTTTGGCGTAGGGCCCGGGAGGTCGAGATGTGGCGTCTTGCGGCGATGGGCGGAGTCGAGATGTGCGCCTCCTTGGGCGAGAGTCTGGGTAGGCGGAGTCGAGGAGATGTGCTCCTTTGGGCGGCGTGGCGATGGGAGGAGTCCCCGAAGACCTCTGTGTGGCTTCCTTGGCGCGATTTGGGTTGGCGAGGTGGCGAGATGCTTGCTCTCTTGCAGGGGGTGGCCGGAGGAGGCGTGGTAGAATCGTTGGTTCTCTGTGGGCGATGGGCGGCGGAGTCGAGATGTGCTCCTTGGCGCAGACCGGGCGGGGGGGAGTGGGAGGAGTCAGATGTGTTCCTTTGGGCGCAATGCGCGGAGTCCGAGTTCGCAGATGCATGGATTGGCTCCTGGCGGCCGAGGAGAGGAGGGATCGGAGGCGGTTGGGAGGAGTCGATGATGTGTGTTCCTTGGCGAGGGCGGAGGACGAAAGTCGAGATGTGCTCCTTGGCGGAAGGGAGAGGACGTCGAGATGCTTGCTTCCTAGGCGCATGGGCGGAGTCGAGATGTGCTTCCTTGGCCTGAAAGGAGGGGAGTCGAGATGCTGCTCCCTAGCGCGAGGATGGTGAGGGAGTCGAGCATGTGTGTCAACTTGGCGGATGGGGGGAGTCGAGCATGGCTCTTCTTGGCGGGTGTGGGAGGAGGAGTCGATGAATGGTGTGTGGCCTTGGCGATGGGCGGAGTCGAGGATGATGGCTCCTTGGCGATGGGAGCGAGTCGGAGATGCTGCTCCTTGTGCGATGCGGCGGGAGGTCGAGATGTGTGCACTTGGCGGAGTGCCGTGGAGCGATGTTCGAAGAGAATGTGCTCCTTTGGCGATGGAGCGTGTGAGTCGGAGATGTGCTCTTGGCGATGGAGACGGAGTCGAGATGGTGCTTCCTGGTTGGCGATGGGAGCGAAGTTCGAGATGTGTCCTCTGGCGGACTGGGAGCGGAGCTCGAGATGTGCTTTGCTCCTTGGCGACTGCGGCGGAGCGATCGAGATGTGCTCCTTGGCGATGCGGCTGGAGTCGAGATGTTGCTTCCTTTGCGATGGGCGGCAGTCGAGATGTTGCTCCTTTGGCGAGGCTGCCGGGAGCGCGAAGGCGGGACGGGGGCGGGATGCGCCCGGCGGACCGGAGCCGGAGTCGAGATGTGCTCCTGTGGCCGATGGGAAGAGTGAGATGCGTGCTCCTTGGCAGTGGTGGGAGGGGAGGTCGAGATCTATGTGCTCCGTAGGACGATTGGAGCGAGGAGGTCGGAGATGTGGCTGGCTGTGGCGATAAGGGGCGGAGTCGAAAGATGTGCTCCTTGGCGCTGAAATGCGCGGAGTCCGAGTATTGTGTGCTCCCTTGGCGCGATAGGGGCCGGAAGGTCGAGATGTGCCTGCCTCCTTGGCGATGGGCGGACGAGTCCGAGAGATGTGCTGTTGCTCCTTGGCGATGGGAAGGAGTCGAGGATGTGCTCCTTGGACGATGGGAGATGAGTCGGATGTGCTCCTTGGGATAGCGTGAGGAGTCGAGCATGTGCTCCTAGGCAGGATGCGGAGGAGCGCAGAATTGCTGCTCCTTGGCGATGCCGGAGGAGTCGAAGATGTGCTCCTTGCCCCGATGGGCGTGAAGTTCGAGATTGTGCTTCCTTGGCGATCGGGCGGAGTCCGAGATGTTGCTCCTTGCGAATGGGCGGAGGTCCGAGATTGATGCTCCTTTGGCGATGGGCGGTCAGTCGAGATGTGCTCCTTGGCGATGGGCGGAGTCGAGATGTGCTCCTTGGCGATGGGAGGAGTCGAGATGTGCTCGCTTCTAGGCGGCATGGGAGGCAGTCTCTCGAGATGTGCTCCTTGGCGATTGGGATAGGAGTCGAGCATGTAGCCTCCATTGGCGATGGGCGGTATCGAGCGAGTATGTGTCCTTTGGCGATGGGGAGGCGAGTCAGAGATTCAGTCCGGATGTGTTTTCCATGGGCGATAGGACGGAGTCGAGCATGCTGCCTCCTAGCGGGATGGGCGGGAGTCCGAGATGTGGCTCCTTGGCTGTGAAATCAAAATAGAAGCGGCGCAGTCAAAGATGTAGCTACATGAACAAACGCAAACTGAAGTACGAAAAAAAATGAGAGAACGGGAGAATAGTAACGAAAGAATTGAGAATGCATCGAACTAATAGGCAGACATAGCGACAGTGAAGGAAAAAAGAGGAGAGTACAGAAGATAAGTGTACAAAGAGAAACCATATGGCAAAATACAAAGATAGGGAAAAAGAGCGCAGTCATGAGAATGTTAAGAAAAAAAAGTAGCATGAGCCCATTACCAAAAAAGAAAATGACTAGATCCAAACACAAAACAAAAAAAAAAAAAAAAAAAAAGAACCCAAAAAAAAAGAAGAAAAAAAAAAACAAAACAAAAAAAAAGAAAAAATAAAAAATATAAAAAAAAACAAAAAAAGAAAGGAAAAAAAAAAAAAAAAAGAATGGCAAGGAGGAAATGTCAAAGAGAATTAGCAATGCATCTCACATAAAAAGGCAGAAATAAAAAAAAAACGATAAAGAGGAAAACAGGAAAAGAGTAACCGCAATATAGATGAACTTAACCCATCAATGGACGACTAGGCGGAAAGTAACAGAAGAGGAACTGATGGCACATACATACTAGGCGATGGTAGAAGGAGAAGTAACGAGATGGTAGCTCACTTGAGTTCAGAAAAAGAAAATAAACGTGAAAAGAGGAAAAAAACAAGCGAGATCGAATCTCAGACATAACGGTAATAGAACATAGAGAAAAACAATGAAGAAAATAGATAAAGAAAGAAACATGAGACAAGAGACAAGACACGAGCAAAAAGAATCAAAGTAAAGAGTCAGAGCTCACCTTCCAGACCCGAGTGACCGCGCGACGCCGAGACAGAACACGCAGATGTGCTCCCTTAGGCGCATGAGGAACACCGAGATCGAGAAAGTGCTCCTTGACGATGGGCGTGAGTCCGGCATAATGTGCTCCTCTCGGGACAAAACGGATGGGGAAGAGAGGGAGTCCGAATAAGAAAGCGAGAACCCCCCCCCGCAAGAGAAAAGACAAGATCTAGTGCATCTGCTAATAGAGAAAAAAGAAGAAAAAATAAGGGAGAAAAAAAAGTAACAGGAGTCGAAGAAGAACGTGAAGAGTCGAACTCCCTATCTGGGCACCGGCGATGAGGGCAGCAGAGTCACGAATGATGTGACTTCCATTCCGGCCAGGAATGGGGCAGAGATCGAGCAGCACATGTGAACTCGCGGCATGCCTTAAGCGCGGCATCGGCGCGCGCTCCAGAAGAGCAGTCGACGCAGTTGCTGCTGGCCATGGGCGCAGGCTGAATGGCGACTCGCAGATGTATGGATCTCAACTCAGACGAACTGCAGGAGATCGACGAGTCTAAGTAATGTGATAGCCTATAACTAAGAGCCGCAATCGGGTACAGAGAAATGACAAGTCGAAAGTAGATGATGTGACACAACTCACTATTGAGGCCGAAGATCGAGGGAACAGGAAGTCTAGAAGAATGAACTGTGGCGTCAACAAACATGGAAACGAGTGCAGACGTCGATGATGTGAGCTCCTTGCGATGTGGAAAAAAAAAATACACACGCGGAGAGATCGACGATAGACTAGTCGACACTATAGGCGACACAATATAGAGGATGCTGCGGGATGTCGAGATGTGCCTTCCGTGTGGCGATGGGAGGCAGTCGAAGATGTGCCTCCTGTGGCGATGGGCGGAGTCGAATGATGTGCTCCTTGGCGATGGGATGGGGAGATCGAGATGTTGTCCCTTGGCGATGGGAGGAGCGTCGACAATGATGCACTCCTTGGCGGGCGGTGTAACGAGTTCTGTGCGTCCCAGTTGGCTGTTAGGCCGTTTCCGTTATTACTTGGTGACTTATTTGTTACCCAGTATTTGGGCTTAGGGGTGAGGAGGGAGGGAAGGGAGGGAGTGAGGGGGAGAGAGAAGAGCAGAGGAGAAGAGAGGATGAGAGAGAGAGAGGGAGAATGGAGAGGGAAGAGAGGGGAAAGGGGTGTTAGAGAGAATGCAGTACGGTATGATTATGTATATATTAGAAAATAGGGAATATAGGTATGCATTTAAGAGGGTCAGTAGCAGGGTGGATAATTCGAAATGGAGAGGTCGTGTCTGTGTGGGATAAAGTAATTTGCTGAAAGAAGGGTGATAGAATTTGTGGTACAGAAATTATTCATGTTTGTGAGCACGCAGATTCTTTGGAAAAATAGGGTGGAGAGAGACTAAGAGAGGGCGTCGGAAGGAGGATAGAGAGGAGGAAGGGAGGGAAAAGGAAGGGGAGAAGAAACAAAGAGAGAGAGAAGAAGGAGAGAGAGAGAGAGAGAGAAAGAGGATGAGAAAGAAAGGGGAGAGAGATGAGATGAGTTGAGTAGAGGAGAGGAGAAGGAGGGACAGGACAGAGGACAATAAGAGGGAGAGAAGAGAGAAGAGAGAGAGACAGAGGAGAAAAAGAAGGAAAAAGAGAAGGAGGGAGAGAGGAGGAGAGAGGAGGAGAAGGAAGAGAGAGGCAGGAGACGAGAGGAGATGAGAGTGAGAGGAGAGGAGGAGGATGGAGAGAAGGAGGAGAGGAGGAGAGCAGGGAGAGAGAGAGAGGAGAGAAGGAGAAGAGAAGAGAAGAGAGAAGGGAGGAGAGAGACAGAAGACAGGAGAGCAGATGAGAGGAAAGAAGGAGAGAGAGAGAGAGCAGAGGCAGATGTGATGTGAGGAAAAAGAGAGAGAGAGAGCAGAGAGAGAAGGCGATAGGAAAAGCGAGAGAGAGAGAGGGAGAGAGAGAGAGAGAGAGAGAGAGAGAGAGAAAGGTACAGAGATGAGAGAAAGCAGACGAGAGGAAATCGAGACCGAATAAGAGAGAGAGAGAAGACAGAAGAATCAAAAGCCACCGCCCCTACCGTAAACCCGTTCAAAAAGGAACGAACGGAAAGGGGGAACAGAACCCAAGAATAACTGCTCTTAAGAAAGTCTGAACTTCGTCGAGGAACATGGGACGTGTCAATACCCAAGGAGCGTTCGGAGAAAGTTTAAGATAAGTTCATCGTCTTTTGAAGACTTCCCCATTCTCTTGTGGGGCCTCTTGAGACGCGCCGCCGCTCCCCCTAAGCACCCTAACTCTCCTTAATGAAATCCCTTGAATATGCATTAAACGAAGGGAGATCTACACTGCCTACACTGCACACTTTCAAGTCTGGAGTGTTACCATACTGTTGGGTATTCCCGTATACAGTAATGTTTAGAATTCATGGTTAGAGTGTGATACCATAGTGTTGGGTATTCCCGTATACAGTAATGTTTAGAAATTCATGGTTAGAGTGTGTTACCATACTGTTGGGTATTCCCGTATACACTAATACTTAAAATTCATGGTTAGAGTGTGTTACCATAGTGTTGGGTATTCCCGTATACAGTAATGTTTAGAATTCATGGTTAGAGTTCTTACCATAGTTGTTGGGTATTCCCGTATACAGTAATGCTTAGAATTCATGGTTAGAGTGTGATACCATAGTGTTGGGTATTCCCGTATACAGTAATGTCTAGAATTCATGGTTAGAGTTGTATGTTGGGTATTTACCAGTAATGTTATGGTTAGAGTTTACCATAGTGTTGGTATTCCCGTATACAGTAATGTCTAGAATTATGGTTAGAGTGTTTACCATAGTGTGGTATTTCCCGTATACAGTAATGTCTAGAATTCATGTTAGAGTGTTACCATAGTGTTGGTATTCCCGTATACAGTAATGTCTAGAATTCATGGTTAGAGTGTGTTACCATAGTGTTGGGTATTCCCGTATACACTAATGTTTAGAATTCATGGTTAGAGTGTGTTACCATAGTGTTGGGTATTCCCGTATACAGTAATGTTTAGAATTCATGGTTAGAGTGTGATACCATAGTGTTGGGTATTCCCGTATACAGTAATGTTTAAAATTCAGTTAGAGTGTTTCCATACTGTTGGGTATTTCCGCTATACAGAATGTTTAGAATTCATGGTTAGAGTGTGTTACCATAGTGTTGGGTATTCCCGTATACAGTAATGTTTAGAATTCTGTTAGAGTGTTTACATAGTTTGGTATTCCCAGTTGTGGTGTTGGGTAATCCCCGTATACAGTAATGTTTAAATTCATTTGTTAGAGTGTGTTACCATTTGTGGGTATTCCGTATACAGTAATGTTTAGAAGTTCATGTTAGAGTGTGTTACCATAGTGTTGTATTCCCGTATACAGTAATGTCTAGAATTCATGGTTAGAGTGTGATACCATAGTGTTGGGTATTCCCATACAGTAATAGAATTCACCTAATTCTAATTCTAGAATTCATGGTTAGAGTGTGATACCATAGTGTTGGGTATTCCCGTATACACTAATACTTAGAATTCATGGTTAGAGTGTGTTACCATACTGTTGGGTATTCCCGTATACAGTAATGTTTAGAATTCATGGTTAGAGTGTGTTACCATACTGTTGGGTATTCCCGCGTTGGGTAGATGATGGTATACAATGTTTAAAATCATGGTTAGAGTGTGTACCATAGTTGGGTAGTAACCATGTTGTGTATATCCCGTATACAGTAATGTTTAGAATTCATGGTTAGAGTGTGATACCAAGGTTGGGTATTCCCGTATACAGTAATGTTTAGAATTCATGTAGAGTGTGTTACCATAGTGTTGGGTATTCCCGTATACAGTAATGTTTAGAATTCATGGTTAGAGTGTTACCCAGTGTTGGGTATTCCCGTATACAGTAATGTTTAGAATTCATGGTTAGAGTGTGATACCATAGTGTTGGGTATTCCCGTATACAGTAATGTCTAGAATTCATGGTTAGAGTGTATTACCATAGTGTTGGGTATTCCCGTATACAGTAATGTTTAGAATTCATGGTTAGAGTGTATTACCATAGTGTTGGGTATTCCCGTATACAGTAATTTCTAGAATTCATGGTTAGAGTGTGATACCATAGTGTTGGGTATTCCCGTATACACTAATGTCTAGAATTCATGGTTTAGAGTGTGATTACCATAGTGTTGGGTATTCCCGTATACAGTAATGGTTAGAGTGTGATACCATAGTGTTGGGTATTCCCGTATACACTAATGTTTAGAGTTCATGGTTAGTGTTACCATAGTGTTGGGTATTCCCGTATACACTAATGTTTAGAATTCATGGTTAGAGTGTGATACCATAGTGTTGGGTATTCCCGTATACAGTAATGTCTAGAATTCATGGTTAGAGTGTGTTACCATAGTGTTGGGTATTCCCGTATACAGTAATGTTTAGAATTCATGGTTAGAGTGTGTTACCATAGTGTTGGGTATATTCCCGTATACAGTAATGTTTAGAGTTCATGGTTAGAGGTGTTTACCATACTGTTGGGTATTCCCGTATACAGTAATGTTAGAATTCATGGCTAGAGTGTGTTACCATAGTGTTTACCGTATACAGTAATGTCTAGAATTCATGTTAGAGTTGATACCATAGTGTTCGGTATTCCCGTATACAGTAATGTTTAAAATTCATGGTTAGAGTGTATTACCATAGTGTTGGGTATTCCCCTAGACTCTAATATTTAAAATTAAGTGAAAAATATGTCTGGATATTTGAAAAACTGTGCTATTTGAAATTGTGTAAAGAAATTGTGAAACATATTGGGTTATTGTTTTTCTCTCCATTTCCCTGCATATATTCCTTCATTCCCGATTCCCCCCTTTTGCGTCTCTCTCTCTCTTGTTCTCTCTCTCTCTCTTTCCTCTTCCTGCATTCGTATGCCTCGCTAATTCGATTCTCACTCTTAACCTTATCCGAATTCCGGTTGAGGGGCGAGTGCGGGATTTTGATGGGGTTCGGAGGGAGCAAATTGAGGTTTCAAAAATTCGGGGTTTGCTCAAATGACCATCTGTCAGGTCGTCTCTCGCTGGGCTGCTCCATCTGTCTGTCTGTCTGTC